GACGGGCTGGGACGGCGGCTTTAGCCAAAGCCGCTTATGGCCCGGCACAAAGCCACTGGGAACAGCCCAGCTCCCTGGGACCGGCATGGATGGGGTGATGCTCACGCCCCGCCGGCCTCAGGGTGCCCAGGGGGTCACACGGGGTGACAGCCGAGGGAGGGGGCTGAGTGTGTGCCGCCCACCCCGTTCCCCTGTGCCCAGCACCCGGACCCCGCGACGGGGCCGGTGGGTGCTGGAGCAATTAGATGCAGTCACTTTGGGGCTATATATAACCCAAATTGCTGCCTGCAGCTTGTTAGCTGCTGAGGTGGTGTCGTGGCGGGGGGGGGCTGGAGGGTGACACAGGGATCCACTGCTCCCCAGAGATGGGGGAGGGGGGGAGTGGCTGTGGTTGTGCTGGGGTGGGCACAGGGTCAAACCCTTGCTGGGAGTGGGGTCCCCAAGGGGGATGTGCTTCACTCCAGGTGCTCCCAGTGTGGTGCTTCACTGGTTGGTGCAGGGTGGGCTGTGGTCACACACAGGGGTCACGGTCAGGCCTTTCCCTGCCTGGTGGCACAGCCTGGCCCCTGGGTCAGGGTGCTTAGGCGTGGGGGGGCCACTGGTACATCCCTTGCTCATGCCAGTGCTGTTTCCAGCATCATCTTCCCATGTGGCATCCAGCCTGACCACAGTCTCCAGCCCCTTCCATCCCTGCCGGTTCCCGCCTGGGCTCGCCGGCACGTCGCGGCTCTGCCGGCACACACCGGCCCCCGCGCCGGGGAGGAGCGCGGCACCTCGGGCTGTCTGGGGGCAGCTGCAAGATGAGTGCGAACATATTGTGTGGGCTCCTGGAGCAGGCGTCACGGTGTCGCTGCTGGAGAGCGAGCGGGAACCGCAGCCCTGCCGTGACAAACGGCTCCGGCAGAGCCGCAGCCGTGCCCACGCGGGCGCCACGGCACAGCCAGCATTGCTGCTGCACCGTGACACAGAGCGGGGATCCAGGTGGGCAGTGATGCTCATGGGCTGGCCCCCAGCACACGGTGTCACCTGCCACCACTGTGACCCATCTCTCCGGCTCTATTAATTTCCCGGGGGGTCCACATCCCAGTCCTGGGAAGGGTTAATGGCACCGTGTCTCGCTCTGGAGCCTTTTGTTTCTTTCCCATTTTTTCTCCCCCCTCCCCATTTTAATGAGGGGTTAGCACTGCTGTAATTGCAGGTTCCAACTTTCCGCCAGCAAACACGGCTGAGAAACTTTAAACACAGCGGGGATGCACGGATCCAGCCACCACCCCTCCTGTGGATGCCCACTGGGGCCAAGCCATGCCACCAGCAGGGACCCCAGCTCTCCAGGGAGACCCCAACCTGCTTTTGTGGGAAAACCCTCTGTTTTCAGGCAGCTGGGATGAGGATGAGGAGGGCAAAGGCTTCCTGGAGGGAAGAGCAGCTGGAACCGTCTGGGGGAACACACGGCAGGGGCTGTGCCTGCCGTGACTGTGATAAAGCCCCAGCGGGAGCTGTGGTCTCCAGGGCCTCACTGACAAAGGGAGCCAGGGGAAGCCCACTCCCATAGCCCTCAACACTCCAAAAACACCTTTTATCCTGAGCGCCGCCTCACAAGGCCTGGGGGTAGATGGGAGATGGCAGGGGTTTGTCCCCACCAAGCCTTACAGCCCGGTGCTGGCACTCTCTGCATCCCAGGAAGTGCAGGATACAGCCCCTCTGTGCCGAGCATCCTCCTCACCTCATCCCTTGCTCATTCGCTGGAGCTGGCACGCAGGTTGTGCCAAACCCCATTGCCAGTGCAGCTGTGCCGGTGCTCGCCGGGCTCTGTGCCCGCCGCCCTGCCGGGGTGATGCCAGCCAAGAGCCAAAGTGCCAGGATTGCATCCACCCCCAGTGCTCCGGCTGCTGGAAGCATGGGGGTTTTCCGAGGTGCTGCCACCTGGGAGGGTGGAGGTTGGGGCGATGCAGCGGGGGCTTTGCTGTGCTCACGGCATTCCCGTGGGTGGTGTTCCTGTGGGCGGCATTTCCCGTGGGCGGCGTTGCTGCTGCACACGCTGCAGCCCGTCCTGGCGGCAGGCGAGGCACAGGGGAGGTGGAATGGGGAAGCTGCATTTTTGGGTGTCCTGAAGGCACAGGAAATGCATTGGCCTGACCTTCTGTGTGCCAGATCTCTCACCTTTTGCTTTCCTGTTCCATTACTGCCATCCTGAAGCTGGGGGGAGAGCTGAGTGCCCCAGCAGGTATTTAGTCCACTGGGAGCAGAAGGAATGTGCCCTTGTCAGGGAGGGATAGGTGTGAGGACACCAGACACAGGGACACCTTTCCCTGCCCTTAGTGCCATGGTGTCTCCTGGCTGCCTGCCGGAGGCACCAAGCTGAGGGCCTGGGAGACACCATGCTGATGATGGGGGTCACAGGTGACATAGGTGACACGGGGTCTGTCAGTGGCTCTGTGCCTGTCCCTTGAGGTCACCAGCTGTGTTTTGACCCCTCTTGAGCTTTCCGTGACCTTCATACTGAGGACCCGCCGGGGTAGATGGGGACAGATGCCACACAGGGGTGTGTTGAGGAGTGTCATGCCATGGGGTTGTCCCTGCCACCTCTGGTTGGTGCCTTTTCTCCATGGTTCTGTCACTTGTGGAGCTGCCCTGCTATTCCTGCCCATCTCCCCTGGCTTACAGCCCTGCATGCCAGCTCAATTTTTCCTGTGTTAATAACATCACATAACGATGTCACATTGATGTCACTTCACTGCACACCTACTTCTGACCTGGATGCTGCCTGTGGCTGTGCCCTGTGTCCCTGACCCCCGCCATGGATGTCTTGTGAGCTGTTGCAGAGTCGTTCTTCAGTCCTTCTGTCCATTTGCAAGCTCCCTTGATGCATGTCATGAGCAGGCCGACCTCAGCTCAGCACTATTTGGGAGGTGCAGATGCTGGTTCCCTGTCTCCATCCCTGGGAAGATGCAGGATAAGCATCTCCCAGAGCCAGGACAAGCTGAGCATCACCACAGTGGGACATGTCAGGGGGGCTACCAGCCCTCCCCTCAAATTTCAACATGTGGTGGCAGAGCACCCTTCCCTCCCAGCCTCTTCCCGAGCACCTCAGGGTGCTTAGCAAATTAACACCCCAATCAACCCGCTCACCTCTAATTGGGGGTGAGTCTTTGAGGACGTGGCTGGGGAGGAAGGCCCCCCCTCCAAGGGGCTGCTGCCATGCTTTATCTGGGTGGACAGATCCCTCCTAATTGAGCAGATATTCCGTGTTCGCAAACAGATGGCTCCTTTGCATCAATTATTCCTTATCTGTGTAACCAGGGATGATTTGCTGACAGATAGCGCCGGGTGAAGTTAAAGGAAGGAGGCGGCCGGTGCTCCATGCTGGAGCCTGGGGGGTCCCAGGGGACATGGGCGGTGAGGGGGGGATGGATCCTGGCTGCCCCTTGGGCAGGTGGGACCCATCTCCTGTGCTTTTGCATCTCAGCATCTCTCGGCAGGAAAATAGAGGGGGTGGGGGCTGCCACTGCTGTGGGGCTGGTGGGTGGGTTGGGGCGTAGATTGGGACCTGGGTGGCTGCTGAAGCTCCCCAGGGAGCAAAAGGAGGGTGCCAGTCTTGGCCCAGCCGCTAAAATCCGCCTTCCCCACCACAACCCCGGCTCGGTGCTTCCCAGCTGTGTCTTGCCCAATGCTGCTGTGACGCATGACAGGGAGTGATTAATGCTAATTAATGATTAGTTGCTCCAGGTATCAAAGTGCACCCCAGCCCTTTCCCATGCCCACAGGTTGGGGATTGCTGCCTGCTGCTGCCTGTGGCATTGCCCCAGGAGGAGGAGAGGTGGCACGGCATCCCCCACCGAGACATCCCTGCCACCTCCACGGAGCCCACACCAAGCGTTCAGGGATGGGAACTGATCCCTGGGCTTGTCCCTTGCCCGCTGTGAAAGTCACCTTCTGTTAATCATTGGGAAAGAGAAGAGCATCCCGCCATCACCAGGGCAGCCGGTGGCACCCCGCCAGTTGGAGCTGGTACGTGGTGGCACTCGAGGACTCACGGGATGTGCCAAGCACTCGCGGTTGTGCGGCGCTGCCATATGGATTCCATAAATTAAACCTTTCCAGGAAGCAAACGGTAAATTTGTATGTCCGCTCATGTGCGTGGCTCATCGAGTCTGAGGGCTTCCCAGCAAAACAACCATCGTGCTTCAGCTCTCCACGTTTGTGGGAGTAATCCCAGGAAAAATGAGATCAACATCAAATCCTCACCATGCTGCAGCTGTGGCCCTAATGTCCCAAAATTAGGAGCACGGTGTCCCCTATGGATGCCACCTGTGTCAGGAGGGAGGTCACCCTCATCCCGCCATGCCCGGGGTGAGCACAGCATCCCGAGGACCCATTCAGGCCTTGATCTGAGTGGTCCATGTGTCTATCCCAGAGCGGCATGGCGGTGCTGGGATGTCCGTAGTGTTGCTGGATTTTGCTTTATTAAAGCTAAAGAGGAGTGGTGACAGCCCAAGCTGTGAGCCTGGACACGCCTGACATGGGAGGGTGACAGCTACAGCAAAACTGGGGCCACAGCAGCACTGGGGGACACTGGGGGTCAAGGAGGGGGACCGAGAGGGGCAGCGGGAATGTTGTCCCCATCCCAGCAGCACATTTTCCTCACCCGCCTGGCAGGGAAGGCGATGAGGGGTTGTTGATCTCGAGTAAACACTGCCCGGTTGAGTAATCGGGAGCTGCCTAACCGGCCAGCTGCCGCCGGCGGGCGAGGGGACGCCGCTTTGATTCATGTCCTCACCCCCCCTCCAGCCTTTCTTGTCTGGCTGCGCTGGGAGCCATCGGCCGGATCCAGCTGTAGCCCCGCGGTGCGGGCTGGCGTGCGGCTCCCGCGCCGGCCACGTGCACCGGCCGGCAGGAAAACAAAAGCATCTTCTGTCTGTGCGCCCCAAACCCCCCCCCACCCTGTGGCCCCCTCCCCGCACGGTGGTGCTCCAACCAGGAAAGGGAAAGGCGCTGAGTCTCTGTCCTCCTTCTCTTCCAGGCGTCCTCTTTGTCCCTGGAGACGGTCACCGCCAAGCCTCTGGCCGGCGAGCCCCGGGCGGCCGGGGAGAGCCCAGGGACGGGCAGTGCTGCCCCGGACGTCAGCCAGCGGACGGCTTTGGATGTGGAAGGCGTGGACGCTGGAGCCACAAGTAGGTGATGTTGGGTGATACCAGGGGGATACAAGGCTGTCATGGCCAAGGGCTGTCCCCTGCCCCACCGTGGGGTGCACCGTCAGTCCAATGTGCCGCTTGGGTCTCCTGGTGAAGGCTCACACCCAGAGGCCTGGGTCTGGGATCTAAAACCCGCAGCCCCACCAGGAAGGTGACCCTGTGGCACCGCAGTCCCTGCCTGCTGTCCTTGGGGCTGTGAGTCAGGCCGTGGGTGCCAGGGAGAGCTGTGGCGTTGGGCTGGATGTGCTGGGGAGTCAGGGGAGCCCCCGGGGCTGGGACAGGCCACGGCTCCTGGGACTTGGCCGCCCTGTCCATCAGGAGCAGCAGCATTTTTAGGAGAGGTATCATGCGTGCTTCCCGCCTGCCGCCTCCCTGGACCAGCTTGTTTGCCAGCCCTTCCCGGCGGGCGCGCCGTGCCGTGTTGTGCTGTGCCACGCCAGGCTCCTTTGATCCAGTAACAACTGCCGATGCCGGTTCCTGGTGTTGGGCTGGGAAGAGTTGGGAACCGCAAGGTGCAGCGGGCAGGAAGCTAGGGTGGACAGGGAGTTGTGGGAGTGGCAGCCTGGGGGCCAGGGGGCTGCTTGGTGGGGGGTTTGTGACCCACTCCCCCATGTCCCCAAGGAATGACACTTCCTAGGAAGGCGGTGGCCCATGTCACCCATCAATCAGCCCCATAGGGATTCAGCCCCAGTCTGGGACCCTGCAAGGCGCTATGTCCCCCGGGGGGGTTGGAATGCATTTACAAGCTGCTCACAGCCCAGCCGGCAGTGGCGTGGACACAAGCTGGGAGCCGTGGCCTGGAACGGGCCTGCTGGAGTCAGCCCGGGATTTATTACCCTGCCAGTGGCTGCCGGGCAAAGGTGACAGTGACTAATGGCTTGTTACACGCCTGCCACATCTCATCTGTGCACCGCGGCCGGCTGCTGTGCTCCCACCCCGGCGTGCGGGCAGCCTGCATCCCTTCCAGGGGGGGAACACAGGGGCAACCCCCCCCTATGTCCCCACAGGGACCTTGGCCAGAGCGGGTGATAGTGACAGTTGGATGGCTTGGCTTGGCATGGAATGCGTCCCTGTGCCTAGGATGGAGACCTACTCTGTCAGCATTCCCTGTGGCCAAGTGTAGTTGGGCTGGCATGTCGGAGAGTACCACCATGTCTTGGGGATGGTGACACATCCCAGGGTGTCCTGGTGAGCCTCGTGTGACACACAGGACTTCCCAGTGCACAAAACCCCTTGGTGGTTTCCAAACCATGAGCCGCTGCTCTGCCAGCACGGTGGCAATTCTATGTCGGGGTGGCTGGGCTGGGATGCGGAGGGTATCCTGTGTGTGTGTCCGGATGGATGCTGACGGAGCCACAAATGCATTCACTAGGAAAATTAAAAAATTAACAGGCATTGGCTCGCTCTAGATTAGTAAAGGCAGGAGATAAAAGCGGCTCTTTATACCTTGTGAGAATTGCTGATAAGGGCATTTGTTCCTCTGTATTCTTTAAAAAGAATGCAATAAAAATTTAAAATAGAACGGGAAAAGGGAGACAGAGAGGGGGGGAAAAGCATGAGGAGGGCTGGGGAGGGTGTCGCGCAGCACCGGCGCTGCGGCAGCACCAGTGTGGGGCCTGTTGGAGGAAGAGGAGGATGATGGAGGGGGTGAAGAGGTGAGGGTGAACCGGGAAGGGATTTGGGTGGGTGTGCTGGTGGTGTGGCAGTTTGTTTGGGGATGGCTGGGTGTCCCTGTCGTGGTTTGCATCTCCTCCCGTGGAGATGCCAGTTCATAGCTGGCAGTGCCAGGATGAGGTTCCTTGCTGAAGCCTCTCTCCTGCACAGGGAAGGTGGGGGTCCGGCCTGTCTGAGCCAGCCGAGCCTGACAGGCTCGTGGAGCCGACCTGTGGCTGGTGAATGATGGGCAACTTCCTCCACATGTGAGTGGGCTGAGCCCCACCCTACTCGTGTCACTGGTGCCCCAAAGCCCAGGTGCAGGCAGAGCCCTCAGGGTGACAGTGGGATGGCACAGGGGTGACCACCACCTTCCCCACCTCAGAGGGACAGTGCTGTCCCCACTCCTGCACCCAGGGCATTGGGGCACACTGAGGGGGCTGCTGTGGGAACACCCCTTATCTCCACAGGGTCTGGACTCAGGACCACCCTGAGTGCTCACTGTGATGGGCTGGGCTGGCACCCCTGAGATCCGGGGCATCCCAGAGCCTGTTTGGGGTTCCAAGTAGTTTTGGGGTTGGGGGTCAGAGGGCAGGATGCCACCCCAGACTTCTTGCCCCCCTTGATCTCTGCATTCTGGGAGGGGGACACCTGTGCTCTGGGGTCAGGGCTGTTACTCCCCATCACCCTAATTCTTGGGATGCTGAGGAGGGAGGGGAACCCCCACGAGCCCCCCCCCCCCCCCCAGTCTCCTCCCCGTAGGGGATCCCCCATCCCCGGTGCATTGGGGGGTGGTCCCGGGGGGTGGTCCCGAGAGGTCCGAGGGGTCTGTCCGTCCCTGCCCAGCATCCCCGTTCGGGGACCCCCTTTGCCTCTCTCGCGGTGCCCGCCGCGCCCGCCCCCGCCGCCCTGCCCTGCCCGGCCCGGCCCCCGGTGAGTCACGCTCCAGCCGTGCGGCTCCCGGGGCGGCGGGCGGGCGCCGAGGGAAGCAGGAAGCGGCGGGGGAAGGCTCGGCACGGCTCGGCTCGGCACGGCTCGGCTCCGCTCCCTCCGCCGCTGCCCATGGAGGAGCGCAGCCCCCGCTGGACGGCGCGGCCCGCGGGTGAGTGACACCCCCCCGGTGCCCCCCCAGCAGCGCCGTGGGGAGGAGGGGAAAGGGAACTCCCCCCCCGGGTAGGGGTTGTGCTGGAGGGGTGGGATGGGCTTGGTGTGACCCTGCCACCCGCAGATTCCTCCCAGCTCCTCTGTCGAGGGGTCTGGTCTGGGGGATGGAGATCACCCTGGGGTCGGGGGACCCCATGGCATTGGGGACAGAGGTCACCCTGGGGCTGAGAGAGACGGTGGTGTGGGGGATGGAGGTCACCCTGGGGTTGGGGAACCCCATGGTATAGGGGGTGGAAGTCGCCCAGGGATTTGAGGAGACTGTTGTTTGGTGAATGGAGGTCACTCTCGAGTTGGGGGACCCCGTGGTATAAGGGGCAGAGGTCACCTTGGGTTTGGGGGCACCCATGGTGTCAGGGATGGAGGTCACCCGGGAGTTGGGGGACCCTGTTGTGCAGGAAACAGAGAACACCCTGGATCTAGAGGAACCCATGGTGTGGGAGACCAAGGTCACCCTGGGTTAAGAGACCCTGTGGCGTGTAGGACAGAGGTTGCCTAGGATTGGGGGTCCCTGTGATGTGGGGGATGGAGATCACCTTGAGTTGGGGGACCTGATCCTGTGGGGACTGAGGTCACCCCAGAGTTGGAAGACCTCATGACATAGGGGGTGGCAGTCACCCTGGGCTTGAAGGTACACTGTTGTTTGGGGGATGGAGATTACCCTAAGGCTGAGGACCTTGTGTTGGGGGGGATGGAGGTCACCTTTAGCTTGGAGGACCCTATTGTGTGAGGGGTGGAGTTGCCATGGGGTTGGGGTACCCCATCATCTGGGGGACAGAGATCACCCTGAGCTTCAGGCACCCTGTGGTGTGGTGGACAAGAAGTCGCCCTGGCCTTGAGGGACCCCATGATGTGGAAGGTGGAGGTGGCTCTGGAGTTGGGGATCCAGCTGAGGGATGTTGTGGGGAGATGAGACCCACTGAGTGCTGCAGGCTCGGGGTCCGGTGTCATCCAAGGCATTCAGTCCCTGTGACCCACATTGGCACAGAGACCCTTGGGGTCATTTCCCATGGCTGGCAGGGCACAGGGGTGTGTGGGGCCGCGGCTGGTGGCACCAACCTTGGCCCTTCTTGCCTGGCTGCCTGTACATGTCCTGATCCAGGCACACGGGGTGCTGTGTGGGGCCGTGCCTCAGTTTACCCATGCACCATTCCTGTATATCCATGTTTCTGGACATCCAGGATTGCCGGCGCTGGGGAGGGACTGTGCTGCTGATTGAGCCCTGCAGCCTGACGCCGGGAGCCTGGGCACCGCACCCTGTGTCAGGGTGATGCCACGGCCCCAGTGTCTCGCCTGCCGCTGTGTTTATTGCCCTACTCCATCCTGGCTCTTCCAGCCCTGCCTGTGCTGCCTGCTGTGCCCTTCGCCCTGGGGCCCGCCGGCTCACCGTGCCATGCCACTGCCCCTGCCCTGTGTTGTGCTGAGTCCAAGCAACTGCTTTGCGTGGTCGCATCGGTGCCAGTCCCCAGTCAGTGGCATCTATCATTCAGATGCTCCATTGGTGGCCTGTCCCCAAGTGCCCATTGCCAGCGCTTGGAGCAGCAGGGGGAGTGCCATGCTCTCTTTATCCTCCTCCTCCTCCCGCAATGAGCCAGGGCAGGGGGCACGGGGCTGAGCTGGGCGCCACATGGGTGCCCTTTGGGCCATGAGTGGGATCCGTGGAGGGAGTTAATGGAGGGAAAAGGCAGCGGGAAGCCAGTGCCTCTTCCTGCAAGGGCGCGCGTGCGCGTGCGAGCACCGGGGTGAGCCCGTGTGGTTTGTGGGTGTGAGCGAGGGGAGCGTGCTCCCGGCTGCGTGTGTGCCTGGCAGCCTGTTTGTGTAACCTGCTGGGGAGGTGTTGGGTGTGACGGTGACGGCGGTGTGGCAGGGCTGGCCAGCCAAGGCCAGCGGCTCCTGCGGGGCTGGAGGGGGTCAGTGTGCGTGGGGGGGGGTGCTGGCTGCGCACATGTGTGTATGTGTGTTGCACAACCTAAGGATGTCAAGAGGGGTGTGCTGAGTGTGCTCACCCCCCTCGCTGGGTGCACACCGGGGGTGCCTGTGCATGCATGTCCCGCTGTGCCTGTGCTCGTGTGTGCACGCACGACTGTGGGACGCACGGGGCCTTTTTTGGGTGGTGGAGGGGGTTGGGTGCGAGTGCGAGAGTGTATCTGTGTGTTTGTGTGTGT